TATAGTATCTAGGTTTCTTTTCAACTTTTGTTTTCTTTTGGACATGTAATTATCGTAGGCAAACCCTAAATTTAGATCTATATAACTCTAGAAATGAATTATACATTTATTAAACATGGAGGCTGTCCATTCTGACATGCTAACCAGTAATTGAATTTATCACATAAACCGCCGCGCAGGAGTGTAATAAAGCCATTTAATGAAAACGATATTACACTAGTGTAATAACACTTTCAGACGTGATTTGCATTATATACAAACATAGCGTTAAAGTGCGCATACGTTAGCGTTTAACTATAGGCGTGTCAATGAAAAATGACCTTTTTTAAAAGCTGACCGTTCTTATTTATATTGTGTGATAAACAGAATATTATATTGTGTAGATTCAATACTAAATTTATTGAACTCTTTGAATAAAACAATATTATACTTGCCAGAGGCTCGCAAAATATGATTTTATTCAACTCGTTCAATAAATTTAGTAATTAGCCTGTACTCATTGAATATACTCTATTTATAAGATATTTTGTTGTCATCCCATACTCTTAAGTAATGTATTCTTTAGAAACCATGTTTTGTGCGAAATATATCGAAATAAAACTAAAATTCCTAATAATTCCTAAATAATTCCTCCCCTAATAAAGGCCCCCCCAGGCTTTTTGATCGGGTAAACAATCTACTCATCAGTGCTGAACTCATAATTAAAGCCATAATTTTATTCAAATCATTCAGAATCCATAGTATTTTATAGTAAACACAAAAATGTACAATATGAACTTTAAAACCTTAACATTTTTTAATGTCATTACCAACACTTGCTAACACTAAATGTATTTACAGTGATTTTTTATTTAGGAAAAACTGTGTTGTAATAACAGCCCCCCTTTTTTGGAAAAATGTTAAGCCCCCGGGGGCGTTTTATTAGGATTTTTACGGTACCTGGACTTTCTCCACCGTCATAGAAATAGTCATCCGGTGTAAATCCTGCCTCGAGAAGAGCAGTACGGCAGGCGCTTCTTACAACTTCCTTGACAAGGTCCCGGAACTCCATCAGTCGTCCGGCCACCTCACTGAGCTGTGTAAACTGGGCCTCGTTAAACTCTCTGAGAGAATATGTGTGACCTTTCTCGACCTTGCATAGACCCATGTCACTGATCCTGTGACACATTTCACGTACGTTCATCAACGCTGGCCGTAATGACTGAAATACAAAATAATTCATGTGCATTTTTTTGTAAAATTTTTTACTTTAAACAATTTAAAACATCAATTTGACTATCACTTAAGTGCTAAATAATGAACATTTGTGCTTTCCGTCTAAATCAGGGCTGTCATTTGAAAATCTCTATATCAATATATCATTTAAGAGAAAGTATATCATTTTCAGCGGAAAATAGAGCATTTTTAGTGGAAAATATAGCATCCAAGGGAAAAACATATTTATTCTTGGGCTTGGGGAAACAGCCTTAATTCAGCTACGAAATATAGGGGTAAAAAATCACTGCTTTTCATCAATGACAGTCCTAGAATCATGCATATACTTACAGGATTGACTATAAAGAGGTTGGCATTGAGGGCCTTCTTGCATTGAGCAATCTTCTTTGATTTTACATTGCCTCTCCATACACTGAAAGCTTTCCATTTTCTGAACAGTGCAAATGTTGGGATCTGAAAGAACAAAGAATGTGTAAATTGAATTTTACCAATAAAAAAAATATATAGATTATTTAGTGCAAATGTTTGGATCTGAAGAACAAAGGATTCGTAAATTGAATTTTACCAAAAAAAACAAAAAATATATATAGATTATTTAGTGCAAATGTTAGGATCTTTAATAATGAACAAAGAATTTGTACAGGAATGTGAATTGATTAAATATATTATATAACTTATCTGCCCTTGATCTTGATTTGTGTAAAAAAAAAGGGCAGATAACTCTTAAAATGAAAAAAAACAAGAGGGCCATGATGGCCCTAGATCGCTCACCTGAATTATCAAACTCATCCAAACAATTACCTAGACAAGCATTCTGACCAAGTCTCATGACAGGTGAGTCAAAAATGTGACCACTACAGTGTTAACAAGGATTATCCATATTTGAGCAGTGCAACCTAGTTTTTTACCCAGGTGACACATATTCAAACTTGACCTAGAAATCATCAAAACAAACTTTCAGACCAATTTCCAGGATACTTGGATCAAAACAGTAGCAACTAGAGTGTTAACAAGATTTTTCTATTTTTAGCTCCGGTGACCTAGTTTCACATGCGATTTCGAACTCATCCAAGCAATTACCTAGACAAGCATTCTGACCAAGTTTGATGATAATGGAGTCGAAAATGTGACCACTAGAATGTTAACAAGGTTTTTCCATATTTGGGCGGTGTGACCTAGTTTTTCATCCAAGATGACCCATGTTCGATCTTGATTTAGAAATCATCAAAACAAACTTTCAGACCAATTAACAGAATATTTGGATCACAACAGTAGCCACTAGAGTGTTAACAATATTTTTCTATTTTTAGCTCCTGTGACCTAGTTTTTCATCCGAGATGTCCCATGTTCGATTTATTCCCAGCAATGACCTAGACAAGTTTCCTGACCAAGTTTGATGACAATTGAGTCAAAATTGTGACCACTAGAGTGTTAACAAGGTTTTTCTATTTTTAGCTCCTGTGACCTAGTTTTTCATCCGAGATGACCCATGTTCGAACTCATCCGAGTTATTACCTAGACAAGCATCTTGATCAAGTTTGATGATGATTGATGCAAAAATGTGACCGCTAAAGTGTTAACAAGGTTTTTTTATTTTTAGCTCCGGTGACCTACTTTTTCATCCGAGATGACCCATGTTCGAACTCATCCAAGCTATCAACTAGATAAGCATCCTGACCAAGTTTGATGATGATTGATGCAAAAATGTGACCGCTAGAGTGTTAACAAGGTTTTTCTATTTATAGCTCCGGTGACCTAGTTTTTCATCCGAGATGACCCATATTCGAACTCATCCGAGTTATTATCTAAACAAGCATCCTGACAAAGTTTGATGATGATTGGGTCAAAAATGTGACCACTAGAGTGGTCACAAGGTTTTTCTATTTTTAGCTCCTGTGACCTAGTTTTTCATCAGAGATGACCCATGTTCGAACTCATCCAAGCAATTGACTAGACAAGCATTCTGACCAAGTTTGATGATGATTGGTTCCAAAAATGTGACCACTAGAGTGTTCACAAGGTTTTTCTATTTATAGCTCCTGTGACCTACTTTTTCATCCGAGATGACCCATGTTCGAACTCATCCGAGCTATCACCTAGACAAACATCCTGACCAAGTTTGATGAAGATTGGGTCAAAAAATGTGACCTCTAGAGTGTTCACAAGGTTTTTCTATTTTTAGCTCTTGTGACCTAGTTTTTTCATCTGAGATGACCCATGTTCGAACTCATCCGAGCTTTCAACTAGATAAGCATCCTGACCAAAGTTTGATGATGATTGAGGCAAAAATGCGACCGCTAGAGTGTTCACAAGCAATTGTGGACGGCCGGACGGACGACGGACGACGGACATTCATCGATCCTAAAAGCTCACCCTGAGCAAGCTCAGGTGAGCTAAAAAGCCTAATTCTGATTGCTCAAAATGTCTTGTCCGCAATGAAGACTGTTGCAAATATCCTTAAGGTATATTTAATCCTGCTTTTAATTCAGGAATATTTCAAACATGAGCAATATATTTATATTAACAAATTACTTCTTTAAACCTTGGCTTTTTTATCTAGATGTAATATAATGATGTATACAAACACCTGCTTACAAGGACTCATCATTCTTAAAAGTATAACATCCAAAATTTACCCCCAAAAATTACAGTGACCTAATGGTTAAGGTATCTGCCTCTTAAGCCAATGATCTTGGGTTCAAACTTTATAGTCTTAAGTTCATATTGCCTAATATGACACCAGTAAGTTCTAGTTACATTCAAATAAGGTACATATTTCTTTCACACTTATTGAGCTTGAATAAAATCATTATTATTTGTGGGCACAAATTTTCGTGGATTTTGTGGGTTACTAAGGTCAATGCACTAATTTAAGACCCAGCAAAATTTTATCACAACAAGTACTTCTTGCCACGTCTCTTTTCTATATATATTACAAACATGCATCAGTGCTTAATCTGCCGATTTTTGTGTAATGAATGCCCAGAGGCAAGGATTAAATTTATTGACAAGCACTGTGTGATACGTAAAGATATGTACATGTTGTAAGTAAAATGAGCGGCGATAAAGTGTAACATTACTCTGTATTAGGTTGTTTTTTTTACAAGAAATTGAAAATCCACGAATTCAAGAACCCACGATTATGCCCTTTTTAATAACACCACGTAATTTCATGCCCATTCTTTTTTTATTCACAGTAATACTTCAAAAACATTTATCTACAATATATCTCACAAATTAAGGATCCATTTTTCTTTCAAAGACAGAAACTATCTTAAGAAACATTTCTCTTACCTTAATAATTTTTCTGAAGTAATCATATTCCAGTTCCCATCTGTCTAGCGTAACAAATTCTGTTTCATCGTCGCTACGGATACGAGTTACTCCTTTCTGACTGATTGTACAGTAGTCTGATTTGTTAATATTTTCATGATTCACCACCCTAAAAATAAGAAAGTTTGTTTTATATATCACTACATTCAAGGGGAAATTTGAGTATTATTATAATTATGTTGTTCAAGGTTAATTTTGAACTTTAAATCTGCAAGGTATACTTAGTTAAGTACTTAAATTGAAGAAAAAAAAGAAACAACACTAAATACAGCAAATTTAATAAAAAATGCCTTATCTGAAAACCAAATTTGTTATTATCTGCATGTATAATGTATTTAAAATCCATGTGTAAAAACAGATATAAGAATATTTATAGAGAAAAAAAACAACCTTATCTAAACAAAACTAAAGTAATAAATATTCATATAAATTGGACTGATTTTATCACAAATACGGGATCATATTCCAAAATTATTCTTTAATTTTTCCAATCCAATATTCACTGATATTCTTATAATTTGACCTTATCTTAATACTATGAATGATTGTTTTAAAATGCATATAAAAACCACACCAAAACATATATACACAAACAATTAACATATAGAGGGTTTTCATTATTAACAGCTTGGCGATCCATATCTTCCCTTTAAATGCTGTAAAAATTAGTTTTATATTCAGCTTATTGACTAAAATATCCCCCTTGACCCTTGGCTAAATCAATTGTTTTTATTGGTACATCTGTTGCTTCAGATAAAAATGAAAACCCTGATATACCATTTTTACACAATTATGTTTAAAAGCTACAGAAGTAAATTGTGATAAATTTCTTTTTTTTTTCTTTCATAAAAGAAAAACATAGTAATCAGGGTTTTTTTTCACAGGTTTAGGGGGAGGGGTTGGGAAGAATCTGGAGCCCTAAATTTGGGGAGAAAATAATATATTTATCGTATTTTTGTATAAAGGGACGAAAAAACTTGATGTCAATTAAATTTTTGGGGAAATTAAATTACTGCATGACTTTTAAAGAATTTTTCTTCCGGACAGCCACCCTAAAATGACCCCTGCTATAGAAGGGGCAAAAAAAAACTTGTAATAAATACTTACTTCAGGTTATAGTAGTGATAATCTACAGAAGATTTGGGTACAGCTGGACTCAAGTACAGGAATCCGATCCTCTCATGATCTTTGATGAGTTGTGTTATTTTACCGGTGTCATTCATACCCTCATATGTCTCTAATACTGTAGGAAATAAAAAATCAGTTCTCAACTTCCGGTAAATCCCTGGTATTCCTACACATTCGAACAACAATAATCATTTAACAAAAATGCTACAACCGATATAACTCCTTTAAAATATTCTTTAATATTTGCACCAGAGACTAATAAAGCTTTAGTAATTAAAAAATTAAGATTCAAACCTTTTGGTTTTGTTGAGGCTGGGATAACAGGGCCAGCTGCATGCACCTTTCCTCTGGGCGTGCTAACCTTGGCTTGTTTAGTTGGTGTTGGTGCTCTAGATCCAAGAGTCTCTTGCTTCTGTTTCAAGTCATCAGGCAAGTCTGGTAAGGGAGATGGTGGCATGCCCTCTGGTCTTTCCAAGGGAAGTGGAGCGCCTGAGCTCTTGCGTTTTTTCTTCAATGGTTCTTCAGCCAGCTTAGCAAATTTCTCTGCTTCAAGCCTTTCCTTATTCTTTTTCTGTATATATTCAGGTTGGTTTCTTTCTTGATGCTTTTGTAGACTTGGCTAAAAATGCAAATTAAACATGGTAAACATGGTTCTTTTTATGTGATACTTAAAATACCAGGCATCTATTGGAAAGTTTGAACTTATGATTAAGCAAAAGGAATTTCAGTCTTTATAAAAATTTATAACTACATATATTCATAACATATCATACTCAGCAAGAGCAGTAGGTTAGGACAGTGTGCTGGACTATTCTCAGTGCTTGATATTAAATTATACATGTAAAATCTTCTGAATTTGAAAATTTGCCAGAATACAAATTAGAATTATTGGCCTTGAACAGAGACCTCCTATTATGCAAAAAAGTTTGTGAAGTTTCAAACCATAATTCCCCTCAGGAGTTATTGAGATATTATATAACTTGCAAAAACTTAACATAAGTATGACACTGACCCCTGGGAGAGTACAATAGCTCACCATATTCTTCGTAATAGTTAAGCTAAAATTATGTAAATATATATATCATGTACATGTATTAAGAATAATAAAACATTTTTATAATTATTGAACATTCAGGGAAGAATATAATAATTTATTTAATTTTACCTATGAAATATGGTGCTATATCAGTCAAATATATTTCATATTTTTTAAAAATAAATATGAAATATAAATATGAAAGTGGGCGGAGTCAAAACCCATATTTATTTGAAGGGACTTCTTTCGCCATTTTGTTTGAAAAATCTGATAAATACAAACAACTTTTTTGTTGAATTTTGTTTTGAAAACTATCTAGAATGATAGAAAATGGTCTAACTAAGAAAATAAATCCGAACACCAATATCTTTAATTCAGTCATTAACGCTGTACAGACGTTTAAAAAGTTGTTTACGTGACGTCACAATCTAGCGCTAAATATCGCGTGCAAAACAAGACGATACTTACATGACTGCGCGCTGTATAATTGCAGTTGCGCAGCAGGCAAGGGGGTTCATAACCATTTTTCTTTGATAATCAGTGATTTTTCTCACTAAATTGGGAAGAGGTCTTAGCCTTTTGATTTTGGGAAAACTTGTCGCTAAAATTGCTGATTTGGGAAGTAAAAAAGCTGGTTTAAGTTGAGATTTTTGGGAAAACTGCATGATTTTAAATAAAATTTCCATTGGGAAGAGGCCTTTTTTCGGAGTCTGTTATATAAGTAGGAAAATCACTGATAATGAAATTAAATAAAAAGGTTATTTTTTCGTTTTTCGTGAAATATGGTATATATTTTCACTCAACATGATAAAATGCCTCATATTTTCACTCGCCGTCCCGGCTCGTGAAAATATGTGGCTTTTTATCATGTTTCGTGAAAATATATTCCATATTTCACTCAAACGAAAAAATATCCTCTTAATATCCCTTTGAATTTACAATTCATAGGAAACATTATATTTTAACAGTCATTGTTAAATATAAGTGTTTTATGTACTTACCACGGGCTCCAATTTTGGAGCTATTGGAATATTTGCTTTTTTGACCTGTGTTTGTGTCACTCTGTTGAATCGTAAGACTCTGGGATTTATTGATGCTTGCTGTGGAGCATAGGAATATAATCTTGCTTTAAGTTGCTCTGGATCCACAGCTTTGAGGCCTGCCAGGGGTCCATGATTACCTTCATTCATCTGACTGTCTAAGGAGGCCCCAGTTTGACTATTAGCTGCACCATTTACCCGGCCATTCATCTGGCCATTAAGGCTCTGACGAGCCAGAGGTTGTCCGTAGGACATCTTTCCTCCCTGCTTTTCTGTCTGTCAATAGACAAGTGAAAATTAAAAAAAGCTGTTACATAAAACCTAAACATTTTGATATTTATTAAACACTATAATGCTTTACTAATTTAAGTGTACATGAGTCTTAAATACAATATATTTCTGCTTATTCTAACCTAATTGTTGACAACATGAAAGTCCCTATGGTTCATTAATTCTTAATGCTGAAAAAGTCCATTAATCATAATGTTCTAGCATAATGGATATCTGATGAGACTGTCATTCTTGGGATAATATTAAAAAAATCATTGATTAATCATGGACTGATTAAACCTGTAGTTTGCAAATTTTTGCCAGTATGATTTAAGAAATTCTAACATGCAAAAATCAAGTAGCTCGTCAGTTTAAAATTTTAACAGAAAATCATCAATGGCTCAATGTAGTGGTGAATAACAACAGCAGAGTGCATTTTTCAACATTATTTAGCAGAAAAAAAAAACAACCACATTTTTACTTAGATCAGACATTGACAATGTGTAATTATCATTAGAGTGGGTGGACCAATGCTTGCCGTAAAAATACTATATTTGATATGGCAAATTCAAATCAACGTCAACAAACCTCAATGTTATATGTCCATTTTCAAGACTGATGATATTGTTTTAAATAGCCATTGTGTAATATTCGCTAATTACATAATGATGTGCATAACTGGAGCTATAGATAGTCCGGATAAACAAGAGTGGTTTGCGTGAAATTGTACCATAGCTTGGCGTACAATACTACATGATGTAGGATTGTTTTTCGAAAAAAATCTCTTTTTATCTTATTAAGAAAACATATTGAATAAATTGTAACAACCAAATTTGGTTCATACATTTACAAGTACTCAACTTTTAGTTTGATTATTACAGCCCCATAACTCTAGAGTTAAAAGATTTTAATAATTTATATGTTGGGGGTTACATATGGTTGTTCGTCTGCTATTAGCATTGTCACGTGACTTTACCAGCAGTGAATCACACCACTCGGGATAAAATGGTGAAAGATGTAAATAAAAGCACCAGTGACCTAAATCGGAGATAACTCGCTTCTAAAATAAAAAAAATTTTACGCCGAGCATTGGTATGCGCCAAGCATTGGTCCAACCACTCAAAATTCAGGGGTTTTGGAAACTTTACAATATTTATTTTACAAAATCCCTATTTTTGATGTCAGAACTTCCTTCTTTGCTTATTTCAAATTCTAAAATCTCCCTATTTTAGAAGAAAAATCTCCCCCTTGATCATCGAAAAAAGTACACATGTATGATTTGGTCGTTATCAATAACTGTATAAATCATACAAAACTGCTCACTCAATTTGTAAGGACAGTCATGATGCAACTCGGCAATTACGTAAGAACCTATGAAAATAAACAACAAAAAAATCTGATCTGTTGACAGATTTAAAATTCATTTGTCGTTCGAAAATATGTTTAGCAACAGTTAAACAACTATGCTTTATTTACCAAGACTCATGTGTAAGTTTTTGCATTTTCAGTAAAATTTCACTAGATCTATCAATAACAGATCTAAACACGAATTTGTGAAGAAAATAGAATACGACACATAATGTAACACTCCAAGTTTGTATAAAATGACAATAACTAAACTCTTACCCTAGAAATTAAGCCTGATTTCTTTTATAATTAGATCTTTAAACATAAAAATATCCTGAAAGATTTACGAACATAAATCCGCCATGATGGTAAACATCACTTGGCAACAAGTCCGTAACGGAATGGCGGTATTGTTAATTATGATTGGATGAATATTCGATCGGGTATTTCCGTAGCAGGTGCGCTGATGCTCTACTACGCGACAAAAGTATTTTCCACGGTCCTAATTTATCAAGCTGTGGAAGATACTACGCGACAAAAGTATTTTCCACGGTCCTAATTTATCAAGCTGTGGAAGATTTGTTTAATTCGAAAATAATTGGGGTATTTTATTATTATTGGAGATATTTTTGCATAAAAGGTACAATGAGTATTTATAAATTACAATTATTTAACAGAATTAATTTATGTATTTTGAATGTAATATCTTATAATGAAAGTTTTTTTTAAATACACTTCATTGTCAAATGTTTTGAAAGATTACATGCTAGAGATATGCCTGAGAATGAAAATGGCGCATCAGGGATATTTTTCTACAAACGGAGCAATTTATATTACTTAACACTTGTTTGCCAATATGCCATTATGCAGGTTATCAGTTGTTTACAAGTATCGTGACTATTTTTTTTTCTACAATTATCACGTATACGCCCATTCTCAATAAAATAAAGCATTTGAGGTTGAAAAATATTAAAAATTTGATGTTGTCATTGTGTGATTTTTTTTCGTTGAAGTAAAAGTTTAGGGTATTTTGCAAGTTTGCCAGAAATATTTTGAACAAGAAACTATGATATAACAGGATGGCATTTATTTTGGTAATGACACTGTATTTCTTCGGTAACGTAGATTTCAGATCTAATAATGTAACATATTGGCTGCATATTAACAACAAATGTCTTTAAAATATATCAAAATCTGTAAATTCTCTATCTAGAGGGACTTTCTAACCCAGGAAAATTCAAGGAAGTTGGGTACCTTGCTAATTTTCAGTTAATTTCTTCAAAGTTAAATATTCGTAGAAAGCAAAAATAGTCAATTTTGGAAATGATTATTTTATGTCTTCATTCAAAGGATATATATCATATATAATATATGAGAGGTCGAATGCATACACAAATGTTGTATTAGCAATTTTTTTTCAAAACATTCAACTTTTCACTTTCTTAATATTTGGAAAATTTATTGCTAAGCACTTCTATATTTATCCCCATATAGGATGTCACGTATGTTTCATTTTATTCAAATGCAAGTAAAGGTTGCGAAAACAATTTTATTTTTTGTAAAATAGTGTATTTTTATGGATATTATTTTAACATTATTATATATAGAATGAAATACGGTCAGTAAGCTCTTTGCAGAAACGAATTAGTTGTTGCTGAGAACATCAATATCTTGTAAAATATTTTTAACATTTCTGCTGGTACATCAACATATTATTAACATATCTTTCCTTTGTAAAAATAATTTTGTATCTTCTTACATCTAATACAAGGTAACCGTTACTAACAGGCATGATAATCCCAATTTTATCTTTAATTTTCAAAAATTGTTGAATTGTAAGTTGGAGTAACGTATGTTTCACGCTCGCTTATTTATGAACTTAATCACGGAATTGAAACTTACATGTAAAATCGACTTTTTTATTTAGGAATCAAATGTACATCATTCTATTGTCATAAAAATGCGATTTTATGTTTTTATATATGCATGTGTAAACAATGTAAAGTCTGTTTGATAAAAGTAACGTTTGTTTCACTGTGGTTACTTAAACAAGTTAAAACTCGACCAAAGTTATCAAAATTTACTTACTAATGTCAAATAGAAGTTAATGTTGCTGTTATACGTGCTTTCTGACTTCAATTTCCCTTTTGATAAACTTACTTTAAAAAGTTGATAACGTATGTTTCTGTAACGTATGTTTCATTTTTACATTGAAAGTGGGTTAAAAAATGACGCAAGACCGTTTAACCCGCCATAATTTGTGGTTAATATATCAGAGTTACACACATGTTAATTTTCTTTCTTGTTTGGATTCTTCTTTGAATGGATTGGCTCTTAAATAATGGTAACGTATGTTTCTTTTTAAAATGCTGTTGAAAAGATTTGAATAAAAAATGAAAATTTCCGAAAATATAATGATATTTGAGAGGCTGCAAGCTTATTTTTACTTATAATTATATATATGCTGTATTATTAAGCATGCATCGATTCAATTATGTAATTTCGGTTCCACTTATTATTGTTTTAGGTTTGTCACTATTTATTTATATGCATTTGGCGACATTTGATCATCCATTATATCAATGAGATTTTAACAGTCAAATGTAATTTTTACCAATAATCAAAGTTCATATACACACAGCAATGACTAATTGCACATGTTTCGTTTATTCTGAAACTTATTTTTCTGAGACACAATTTCAAAGTTGAAAATTCTAGGTGGCGACAGTAACGTATGTTACATTTTAGGGCATTAATGGTACTTGTAAAAGAAAAATAACAGATAGAAATGTAAAACTGAGAGTGTCCCTATTAGACAAAGTGGCAGCCACCTTTCTAACGACATTTTGACCTCAAGAAAAACCTTCGTATAGGAGCTACCCAGTGGAACATCAAATGCTGTGTCTTATTGAGAATGAGCGATAATGTAATGGAACTCCATGTCCACGGGAATATAAATTATGTAAATTCTTACGTTTACCTAATTGATGTTTACATGTCCTACTTCTGTGAAGACACGTGACGTTATCAGGTTATGACACTTAGAACTGCTAAATTAGCTAAACTGATATTTTTTATCGATAAAATATGGTGATTATTTCCAGACATATCAAAAAATGTCATATACATTTTGTGAAAATTTAAAGAAACCATTCGTTGATAATCAATTATTAATTAATTTATTTTTAATAACACATTCTCGCGAAGTTCCTCGGACGATTATAGGTGGGCGATTACACTACTTTTTGGGGATAGCGCGGTTTCGGTGCAGCTCAATTTGTCTCTGATCTTCTACAGGCTGCACACATACAATATAAGTAAACTCTGTTTCTTTTTCAAACAATACTAAAAAGTTTTTATAGTGTTCATAATTCAAATAATTATAAAAAAGTGTAGATTATTAAATTAGTTTGAAAAGTCACCCAATATCAGATCATAGAACATTCCCTGACAAGAATTTATAGTCCTTTTTCAAAATACTAAATCACACTTTCACTATTGTCAAGCAAACACTCTGTCACGTGACCTCACAAGGTATTTTTGTTTGTTTTATAATATTCACTGTATGCTCACATGCTTGCTATTATGGATAGAGTTAAATAAAATTTATATTTATGTTGTTGTTATGTTATGTTATGTCATGTTATCAAACTAAATTTAAAATAAATATGATATATATTAAAAGTAGTATCAAAATGAAAGTTTCTTGTAAAATTAAATAATCAAATTTTCGAATAATGGTAAGTATATGGGAACATTTCCTCTGCGACATAGATTTTCCAAAACGGACATAAAGTATAATCAAACAATTTTAAGTAATAGATTGACATAAAAACGTTATATCATTAGATTGGAATAAAAATTATTTAAAGCTGCATGCCTCAAACCACAATATTTCAAGAAAATCAAACTTGGGCTAAATTAGTGCCATTTGCACCAAAAAATCTCCGTTGCGTTATTTAGTCATACCGGTTCAAACGTTCAAACGTTGAAGCTATATTGTTCACTGTCACTATTTTTCGGAACATGAAATAGTAAAACACTATTCGGAAAACAATAATCGAGTAATACAGGTTAAAGGATTTTAACGGAATGAACCATTGCTCGTAGTGTTGAGTAACGTGAATGTTTTTTCCCCCGATTATTCCTTGTACCGATTTGTTCACTTCGATGTTAATTTTTCGTTTAAGTCGTATTTTGAAGCGGAGCATGCGTAAAACCAGTTTTGTATGCTGGTTCTAATGATTTAATGTTTAAATGCGATACATCTAGGTTCAATTTGAAAAGCAATAAAGCGAGCTGTGTTAGAGAAATTATATAGTTCAAATACATCTCACTATCGGGTTTTATCGCAAAATCGGGCGTAACGCTGATTAATCGGTGTTTGATAGCTAGTCATCAGTGGTTAAACACTTTCCGTCAGATATGACCGGTGATTCATATTTTGTTATATTGTCCGATCGGCGATATCGGTGATTAAGAGCTTGAATATCTCGTGATATAGGTTGCTGTCGGTTATTTGTGAAATATTTTCACCGATCGAGAACTTTAAACATGTTTAAAAATCCCAATCGGTAATTTTTCACTGATAAAACTTATTTCCCCAATAACAGTTGATAGGTGGAAAACAGGTGACCAATGGGTGATATCGGCGTTAAATACGTTGTCATCGGTTCACTCCATAATTTGGCTTAAAACTACCGACCAATCACCGATGGCTCTGTGTAACTGGGATGTTAGGTTCGAAATTCGGTCATTTAATGTTTTATATGATATGTGATACATGTTTTATTAAAAAAAATCATTTATCATAAGTAAAAAGGTAACAAGTAAAGTGACCATATCAAGATCTACAGTGTTGATGTGAGAAGTAAACTATAGCAAACTTGACAAGAATGTATAGTTAAATGATGGCCCATACGCAGCTTACGGAAATTAAGTCGATCGGCGTACATGTACTTTGGTATATAGTACATGCAATCGAAATGTCATCGGCTATTATTCCCTGCGGGCCGGAGCCCGCAGGGTATTGGTACGCGTTTAATTTTTGAGGCATGGAGGAGCACGTGACCTGTTTTCGGTACATGGAGGAGCATGTGATCTGTAAACCGTACATGATTGGTTAATTGACCTATTCGAAAACCTAGCTAATTACCGTTACCCGGTACGTTACGGATTTACCTCTAGGGAATCATTGTATACACACCGGCCTCTCAAATGACCTGTGTACACAATGCTAGGGAATAAGTCCGAATTACACCCAATTAAGAACATAACACTATTACGTGATATTTCTAATTTTCTATTATTATTTTACCGTTTAAGGTGGAAAAACTTGCATGATGTGTTTGAAAATTATAATTGTTTCTTTAATATCTATCTGAAATTTTACAGACAA